ATACCCAGACCTTGTCATGTTCTGCCACAATTTGTTCAAAAAATGAATTATGTTTGGTATTAAGATGATGCTCCATATTTTTTGGTGAATAAAGATGAGTACGTTTTTCTCCTTCGCAATCTAACAACATACATCTAAAAATTGGTGCTTTGATACCCATAACAATTGCAGATTTTACTGTAATAATATTTCCTTCAGGGAAATAAGAAACAAGATTTTTTGCTTCTTCTTCTAGCATTGGTACTACTTGCTCTTCTAGATATCTCTCTGAATAAATGGTGTAGGCATCACCTTGATATATTGGTGGGTCCTTAAAACTATGACAATGCTGAAGAATTGTATAGATATCAACCTGAGAGTATTTAAGAGGGTTACCTATCTCATCAAGGAATGTTTCAGCAACTTGTTTATTAGGTCCAAGGCGAGGCCATTTTTTTAACAAGTGTTTCAAGATAAGTTCCTGTCTATGTGGCTTTTCTGCTTCATGGATTATTTGATTTTTTAATCTTTTCCAGTACTGTTTTGGAGGTTGTTTATCAACCTCAGCAAAATGGAAGATTGCTCTTTTGTACGAAGTGAAATGAGTTTGAATATAATGAGATTTGTAGTTTAATGATAATTTCCCCTCCTCAAGAATTTTACCAACAAGTTTGTTGATTTTTTTGATAAATCTTTTTGATTTTTTCATATATAAGCTGCATTCTTTATTGCGATCATCACATTCTTCCAAGAATTTTGTTTGAACCTCGAGCATTTTTTTACTTTCCTCATCATAAGTATTAAGAGGTTTTAATCCATATTTACCAACATAAGAATGTCTCTCAATAATATCTTTTTCCCAGAACTGTTTAAGAGGCCTGTGTCCAGTAACCTTCATTCCATATTTCTGAAATGAATAAGGTAATCCTGCAAAGAAATCATTACCTCTAATAGTCTTTTCTCTGAAATTGTTAAATAAATAAATGAATAAATATGATTATTTAATCAATTAAACTTTATATAATTACTTACTCAATTATGGTGGTTCTTGCACAGTAACATCTAGTGCAGCATCTTACATGAAACTGCCAATGTATTTCAGTTGATTTAATAATACCACAAAACATGCAGGATCTAGGTGAAGCAAGGAAGAATCTAATGTATTGCAATTCATTCCAGCTTGGTGGTGGTGGTCGTTGCAGTCCTTTAAAATATGCCATTCTTGCATTTTTCCAAATTTTTTGAGATCCATCACATTTATCCATTAAGATAAAGTGGAATCTCGAACAAGTTTGTACCAGTGCCAACAAATCAGATGGTGGTAGATCTTCACAAATCTGGGAGAATACATCAAGAGGAATACTTGGGAAAAGTGCTAATTGTTTTCTCCTGATTGGATATTTGCAAGATTCATCACCATATTTATCTATAAATTTTTTATCAATCTTGGTATATTCGTCAACATTTAAACTATATTTTGGTGGCAAAAAATGTGATTTTCTAATATGATAATAAATAAATAAAATAAATAAATAAATTAATAAATAAATAAATAAATAAATAAATAAATAAATAATAGGGCTTTTTTTAAAAAAATAAACATACTCTTTATAATGATCCTGATTAGCACCATAATAAGTTCTTAACGTATCATATTGGAGACAAAGTTCTGAATATGAGTTAAACACATTATCAATTTCCAATTTTTGTACTGAATTCACTGCTTCTGCTATTTTTCCAGGATGAAATCCATTCCAGACCGGGAAATTAGTACTATCAGCTACATAATCTTTCGAAGTTAAAATAGTAGTATTCATTTTTGTATTAATAGATATTTGTTTGTAAATGAGTTAAAATGAGTTGAAAAA